CGCTAATGACGCCATAAATTATGCGCAGTAAGGATGCGCAATGCAAATGTGAGGAATGACCTTAATGACGATATCTTGTTACAAGTACTCACTTTTTAGGATCATGTGGTTGGATAAACAGTGTGCTCTTGTGAGCTGGCAAGGGGAGACCTTCTACTGATTCTATAAAAGAATTTTTAAATTTTATTTTAAGACTCATACTTTACATTAAATTGTGCAAGGCAAGGATAGAAAGTTCAGCATCACTGCAGTTTTCTAAAATTTTCATACATAGTACTTGGACTTAATGACATCATTCTGTGAATTCAACTTGACAAATATCTGTGACAAATTGTACTTCTCAATCACTTGTAAACCATAAGGTGTGCTTGGTGCATCTTGCAAGCAATTAAGAGAGATGGGATCGCAAAGTTCTAGCAGATTATTCAAAAAGAGGGAAAATGGTCTTGGAAAATAAAATTTATAAAACCCACAAATGAAATTAACTTAGTTTACACAAATATAACACAAACGTTGCTAGTACTTACGCAAAACTAAAACAGCATCTGGCTGTTGAAAACCAGTGAGGTATAGGAAATCTGTGTTTTGCCTGAATGGATATCTGAATGAAAAGAAAGGTGATATAATAATGCTAAAGTATCCGCCTCAAATCTAGAGATTATGGTGAGAGAATGACTTGTAAGTAATACATACCAAAAGGAAAGTAAAGGGTGAAAAGGGATGTACTTTAGGATTCAAGCCTGGGTGCAAACTACCAGAGGCCCAATAAAATAACTATACTGACTCTTCCCATTGTAGATTGTCAAGACCAATAAGTACAACAACTAATTGTAATTATTAATTGTAATCATGTAGCAGTGATGTGTACAATGTAATTTGCATTGAAAAGCCCTTGCAACATGCTTTTAATATGCTACTCAACAAAAAGCACTGAATGAAATGCTGGGTTGTTTTTTTTCACTACAGTTATAATTGCTAGAAGGCAAATAAAGTGATACATGTAGCACTGTTGTTGATTTTTCCACTCTCTACCCACTCACTGTTCCCTTTAAATTTTTTCTTATATCACCTCACTTTCCTTTTCCTTTCTCCTAATCCCAGGTCAGGGAAATGTTATCAAAATCTCCAGAGTATACTACTTGAATAGATACTTACGGCACATCTGTTGTCATGAACTTTGTAGGATTGCTTGGAATGATCACCAAATGCTTGTCATGACTTTCACCAAAATGTGTCTTTGCAAGTAGACTGTAGGTTATAGCAGAATAAAAATGCAATATTCTTAAAGAGGTGAAAGAACTTTTTTTAAAAAAGGAAATCAGGATAAGAATAATAATTACCTAGACAGCTATGGGCTCCTATTGGATAATTACTACAAACTGACCATAACCTGAGAAGTCTTTGCCTTCTGTCTCTGTATTCCTTCTTAGTAATTCCAGGGGTGACTACAAAGAAATTAAACAAAAAAATAATTATAAAAAGGTGATATTCACCTCTATCCTATTTGCATTACATTAATAGACTTCTTCTAATATTTGTGCTAAGTAACTGGTGGGCCATAACAACAATAAAATAGATAAATAAATATCATAATTATATAAATTTTGTAATCATGAGAGTTAAGATCTTGACCTGTCTAATTGGTTTTAAGGGTAGCTAGCCTACAAGAAAGCTCTCCACTTCAGAATTAAACACCCTTTGGATAAAGGGAAATGTGCCACCCTCGTTGGTAAAGTTGCTCACTTTAATTTATACCTCACTTTAATTTATCCGTCTCATTCTAAACAAATAGAATGCTTTAATGAGGGGTAATTAGAACAAAAATTAACGAAAAAATGCTAAACACATTTAACAGTGATAGATAAAACAAAAATTATCATACAATTCCCAAAGCAAAACAGTGCATTTTCATTTTGAAGAAATTCCTAAATCTTCCTTTGTTATCCTCGTGATCAACAAAGTTTTGAAATTCACTATAATACAATTCTAAGGAATGGACCAGAATCTTACAATATGAATAACTGTTCAGAAAACTGAAACTTAGCTCAATTTTTGAAAATTTTAACAAGTTATGCCTTTTGGGGTTCTTAAATTTGTACAGTCTCTGGAAAGGAAAATCAATGCATGATTTAATCTATGTACAGAATAGACCTGAAACCAACATAGTAAAAATAGCCAAACTGTTTTGAGATAAAACATGTGTACGTAAGCCTTTAAAAATAAATGTTAAGGGTGTGTGTAACAGGATTGGATATTAATAAGATGGACTATTTCAGAAGTACCAAAAGTGCTATCAGATGTTCCCCTCCGTGGTCGTCTTGGAGTGGGCAACAAGTCAGGAGCTGAAGGGTGTAAAAGTTCCTTCATCATAACACCTTCATTCTCCATTGCATAACCAGCTTGCTCTAAAACAACGGGTTCTTCCAGTTGAATGATTTCCCTTAAAATTGTCCTTCTCTTGAACAGTGGCACCTTGTTAAGCCCAGGAAAGTAGGATATTGCAAGAAATATTACAACCACAGCGCATGCTAAAATCATCAGAGATGTAATCCTTCGAAGAGTAAAACTCCACATGGTGGCAAAATGCTAACATGAAACTAGTTACAATGGAGTACAATGGAAAACCTTCTCTTGAAAGCTACTCCATTTAGCAATTTGAAAAAAAATGTCCAAACAAGATTCTTCCACTTCTTGACGCCAGAAGAAAACTGAACTAAAACAAACAGTGGCCAGGGATCCAGCTGATTGTAGATTTGTCAAACTGAGATCTTTAAAAACCAAATGATGAATATGTCTTGGTCAGAATAATTTGCTACTCCATGTGCTTTTCTTGGGACAAAAAAGGAAAACAACTCCCATAATTCCTTATTCCATTGTTCCTTATTGTCCAATAACAGCACTAGTACTAGTATAACCAGCAAGGTTTAGAAAGTAACCTTTTATGTGATCCCACTGACCAGTAGAATTATTCCTAAGCTGTAAACTATTTTATGGTATAGCAAATTTAAGTGCTTAGAATAAATTGAAAATAAAACACCAGAGTGTTTCAGTACAAAAAGTTTTGATAAACATCTGAAGTCTTCCAAGGATAATTTCACAAATGGATAAAGATGGCAGGGAGATATTTCAAACTGATCAGCATCCATGTATCTTTTGCATTTTGTTATTTGTATCAGAATACCAAAATTGATTTACAGGACTCGCTTTAACTTTATTTCTCTCAATTTTACCTTGAAATGTAAGTAGTTTTACTATATATAATTAGTCACAGCTGAAGCTGTTTACAATATATTTTGAAGGAAACTTAAAATTCTTTAAACAGGTAAAAAAGCTTGCCACCTGTTCAGGTTCACAAGCAGGTAATAAGTTACTGCATGAAACCATAATTATATTTGTTAATAACTATCAATAATTAATTTGAAGAAGTAATAATTATTACTGACACAAACAGGTAACCACCAGAGAGTCTAACATACATCATAGTTCTACATTATTTTTCTATTTTTGCTAAAAATAAATTCCTAAATTAATGCAGACAATGACAAAAACATTTTATTCTAATATAATTTGTACTGAATTGTACCTTCCCAGTATCCTCCAGCAGCTTATCAGAGCAGAATGATTGTACCATGAATTGCACAAAATATACATGTATTTGGCAAGACAGATTTGAGCCAAAACATCCAATGCAATTAGGTATTTAAAAACACAAATTTGGCCCAAAGTCTGGTGATATCAGGTCCATAAGGAGATATTGCAGAAAAACCTAACCCTAAGTACAGAAGGGGTAGGGAAATTGCAACTCTGGACATAGTAAGTTTCATAAACATGTCATAGTATTACTATCACTATTTACTCTGGACAATAATATTTGTTTTTGTTTTGAGAATATTTAAAATTTTTCCAAGTTGAGACAATGAGAAAACAACCTAACTTTAAAATATTCTACTCAATAATTATAAACTTTAAATTATTGGTTATAATAATGTTATATATATTTATTATAAATTATCAATAACCTCAGTCATGTAAATTAATACTATGTTTAATTAACATAGACTGGAGTTTGCTGAGGAGTTGACCATTACTACTCTACCTAGCAGATCGCAACACCCACAAATTTTTTCCCACTTTCAATGTAATGTTTTGGATGCTGCGAGTTTGTTTCAAACAAAACCAATCGGTTTGTTTCCAATGTACCACATGATTGTCAAACATTACTCTGAAGGTGGCAAAAAATTAGTGGGTGATGTGGTCTACTTGGAAGGGTATTAGAAATAATGGATGGTTCTAGCCTAAGATCATTAGCCAGTAAGGTCTCTGCAAGACTTTTTCATGAAAACGTTTTATGGTGAAATAGAAAACTATTTATGTTCCATTTTGCTGGCAAGAATTGGTATTTTCTGCTGATCAGCAACTTGCAGGGTTTGTTTGTGGGCAATTATTGTTCCTTCCAGTACAACTACTGACTGTACCTCCCTCCCCCCCCCCAAATATGCTTTATTTAATAGTTCCCAATTTTCGAGGGTGAGGAATAGACATATCCTTCATTTAAATTTTTTAAAGGTCCAATGCTAGAAAGTGAACATTGAGTCAAATTAAATTGTGTACACTTACTTTCATCTTCCTCCATCAGGTGGGGGTGTGAATCTGGTGTCGGTTGTCCAATAGACTTTGCCTTGTCACCAACAAACCTGAGACCTCTTTCACTCAGGCCCTTTAACTTTGCTGTCAAATTTATCACAAATTGGTATGTCAGTAAAGAATTTTCATTAAGCAAGAGTCTCAGTTTGAATGTCATTGATCAGGTAGTATGCTGGCATCCTGATCAAGCAGTCCAGGCTCAAGCCCTCTCCAGATCTAGAGTCACTGTGTTCTGTTGTTGGGCAAGACACTAGACCTCTCACAATGTTTCATCTACATCCCCCAGCCCCTCCCAACCCCCAACACACACACCATTGATAGGGTAACATTTTTAACCTGGAGAAAGAAGATCAAAGTGCCTGACCCTCAGACGTTTTGTCTTTTTTGTCTCCTCAAGAAGAAGGCAACTTCTTCCAAACCCCCCAATATTCCAAAGATCAAACAAATATGTCAACCAAAGAACCTTTCAGAAAAAACTTTTGATGATGATGATGATGATGATGATGACGATGATGATGCCCTGTCAGAAAACTGTGTTGATCATGGGGGAGATCAGAGAGGGGAGAGGAAAGAGGGAAGAGGGAAGGGGATAGGTTGTGGATACTATGAAAAATGGAACAACTAAGTGCCTCTTTCCACTAAGGTGTAGACAGGAGCCAATGGGCCAAGAGGAGCTTTACCCTCTAAAATAATTCTGTCCAGGAGATCTTTTAACTTTGTATTCAACTTATCATCGCATGCCAGGAAACATAACATGAAACAGGACCCGATATGTGTTTTATTTGTCACACAGTTTTTCCTTGCGATCATGCTTGAAGCCAGTGATGCATTAAAAGGATACATGGCGCATGGCACTTTCAATTGATGAACATGACCTCGAGTATATTCTATGTTTTTGTTTGAGGCACATTCTTATGTTACAATGATGTCAAAACATCACAGTTTGCCTGAAATAACACCTGGATTGTGTGAAACTTGCGAACTTTGATCTTTAGTTACAGTTAATAAGTCCTGGGTGGATATAAACACACCCAAGGCTTATTATTAACCTAATTTGCATAGAGTTTTTTCGTGGGCAAATCTCCTCATGCTGGTGTAGATTGAAATAGCTATATTGGGACATTACATTTGTTATCTGCACTCATCCCAAAGGGGAACAGATTCTGATCGGACACATTGACCACTTTTTAAATATCAGCAACTTTTATGTTTAGATCCATGGTGTTCAATATTTTGTCAGCTCCTTTGAAAAAATACTCCGACAGAAGTATTTTTTTAGAGGTTACCATCCATTGCCTGATTTCAAGCCGAAAAGGACTAGGTATGAGTCTGTAAATTATGGGATTAGCAACTGTTGATCCATATAGTCATAAAGTGCAGACCAAGCTTTACAAAATCCCCAAGTTTGGTGTTAATAGACCCAATAGTAAGCAAGATACAGCCATTTGAAAACGTCAAAATTTACAAAGAAATGTATGGCCATCCAGACACTGTGTCCGGATGACCAAACATTTCTTTGTTAATTTTGACATTTTTAAATGGCTGTATCTCAGTCAAAACTAGCCTGATTAACTCCAAACTTGGGGATTTTGTGAATCTCAGTGTGCTCGTTCTGACTATGTGGATCAATAGCTGCTTACCCCATAATTTACAGACTCGTACCTAGTCCTTTTCGGCTTGAAATCAGGCAATGGAATGAGAGAGGGGGAGGGGGTGATAAAAAATGGAATGCCCCATTGCTACATTCATCATTGATGATAAAAGAACTTCGTGATCATGCAGCTTTAAATGTCACGGTATATCATTTTACACCTTGAGAAAAAAGCCTTTACCCTCATTGGAACAAGGTTCTACTCCAGCGACGCTGCTTTCCGTGCGCAGACGGGCTGACCACCATGAGGCAAGAGAAAGTCGACTTTTCCATCTTGTAAACTTTGCTCCATGGAGGTGCCTAGTACGAACTATTAAAATATGAGATTTTTAAATCTTAAAAGTCAAAACTCTCATTGATGCATTTTTTTCACACTCACCAAATGAGCACGAATTTGTATTCAAAACAAGATTTAGTTTAGGTATTCGTGCAGCGAAGTGTTTCACCTCTGCCGCCATTATCTGAGCAGTTTTCTCCAGGGCCCTCTCTTTCAATTTTCACACGGTCGGTGATCCTCGGAAATCTACCGAAAGTTACAGCGTACGGGCCAATATCCGAACTTAGACCGAACTTTCACGAAAGCGTGACTGCCGCGTCCCTTTGGTGGGTGGGAGTCTATTTCGTGCATAGCATTTGTTGAGCAATGACTCCTCGCTTTCTTTTTATTCTTTTCTTTTTAGCCTTAGTTTGTTACCAATGTGAATGCACCACTGGAAAACGGCCACTGGGAACATTCATCAAGCACTATGAGCCGCTGTATTACGATACTGCTTCTTTGCACGAGATCCATCGGAGAGCCGTTGAAAGTCGGTCGCATGGGAAGTTCTCATTTTCCGCGTTTGGGAAATTTCACCAGCTAAATTTGCGGCCTGATAGAGACATATTTACAGGAGATGCAACAATTGTCTCATCGGATGGAAAGCCGATCCCATTTGATCACGATGCCGTTGTACGAGGTAAAGTGGAGGGTCATCCCAGTTCCGATGTGTACGGTGTTATTGACAAAGAAGATGGATTCCATGGAAAGATATTGAGTGGCAGTGAGAACTATTACGTGGATCCGTCTTCTTGGTACTTTGACAAGAAGCAAGATTTTCCATCTGTGATCTACAAGGACACAGACCTGGAGTACGACCACAATTTCGCCGATATCAATGAAAGAGTACCCTCTGTGCAAGTTCCAGAACGAACCCGCCGCTCGCTTTCGGACCAAGACCAAGGCCGCGTTCGCAGGCAAACACAAGAACAACTGGATAAAGACGCCTGCACACTCGGCCTCTACGCCGACAATTTTTTCACCAAATTGTACGGTGGCAAAACGAAAGCGATCTTCCAGCTTGTCAAACAAGTGCAGGCGGTACAGATCATATACACAAACCAGTTTAACGACTCGAACTACTTCTTTTCAAAAGGATTAACATTCCGCGTCAAGACTATCGTTGTGTTCAACGAGACCGGAAAGCCACCCAGCAATCTTCCCGACCAAATTACGGATAGTAACGTCGGTATAGACACTGTCCTAGATCTGTTCTCAAGTATTGACCACAGTGCTGTTTGCGAAGCCTTCTTGTTCACCGATCGCGACTTTGAGGGTGGAATTTTGGGTCTCGCTTGGATTGGAGACCCTGACGGAGGTGCAGCAGGCGGAATTTGCGACGGATTTATCGATTATGGTGGAGGGAAAAAACGGAGTTACAATACTGGTGTTGTTACATTGAAGCTTTACGGACGATTCACACCTCCCAGGGTATCAGAGATAACGTTTGCACACGAGCTTGGGCATGGATTTGGTTCTCAGGTAAGCTTTTGTTTCATCGTTTTTTGGAATGTCTATGAGAATGCTTTGTGGTCAATTACGTAGAAATTTATACGCGTAAACTACTTTTTGCGCCACCGTGAATTTGCTCAAGTTTGTACCGACTGCAGTTTAAATCTCGGATTTTAATATAAAACAGCGCAGTTTATAGCGGGTTACAAACAGCTCGATTGGTACAATACGTTCAAATTACAAAACAAAGTGACACACCTTTCTGGACTTTGACATCTTGCTTGTTTACGAGACACCCGATGACAAACTTACATAAATTACTCTCAGTACATCGTTCACTTCTTTCCAAAGTTCAACGCAAAAGAAAGTGGCAAATACAAGNCATAAATACATAAATACATAGTACTTGAATATCCACCCCTCACATTAGTCTGATCTTGATTCATCCACTGGCAAGCCAAACCTCCATTTCTCTGGTAGAGCTAGTCAGCTCTAGTACTGATCATAGTGAAATGTTTGCTTGCTGTTGTGAAATTTAAAATATGCTTGTTTTCGTCTTTTGTTAGCATGATCCAGACACAGAACAGTGTGCACCTGGTCCTCCTGAAGGAAACTACATCATGTTCGATAAAGCAACATCTGGTATTGAACCCAACAATGACCGCTTTTCTGTATGCAGCAAAGACAGTATCAAGAAAAACGTAAATAGAGTTCGTTCTAAGCAAGGCAGTACTTGCTTCATTAAATCCGATGACCCAATATGTGGAAACAAGATAGTGGAAAAAGGTGAACAGTGTGACTGTGGAAATGCAAACACCTGTACTGAGGATTGCTGTATCCCAGCAGGTAGCAACAATGAATGCAAGCTGAGAATTGAAAAGATATGCAGCCCAAGCCAAGGTTTGTGCCACCATAGAATTGATTTCTATTTAGCTCTGTTATTCTATTAGGATTAATTAACCATTTCAACCTGAAACATAATTTAGGTAGTGGTGTGCTGATCATAAGAAAATAAAATAAAATAAATCTTAAATTGACCACTCCCGCAATGGGGCTTCTCAGGGCCAGTGAAACCAAATGTTGAAACAAATGTTGCACATGAACATAACATGGTTAAAAATCTCAACTGGCAGGAGGCAGACCAGTTGGCTATTTATACAGTGTAAATAAGCTCTTACACAGCCCTTTTTTGTAACCAACCCAATGAAAATCTTTTACAATGCAACAAAGTGAACACAGCGTATCCCAAAGGGAGTATTGCCACCTGTTTCTGCCTTCATCCAATGTTGAAAGTCTTAGAATTCCTCACATGTATTCAACAGAAATCTTTGAAAGTCCCAACACCCCTGGATTACAGAAGAAGGTTGTCAGGGAATAAAGTTGTGCTGTTAAATTTCAGGGCCATGCTGCAGCACTAAATGTACTTATGAGGGACCAGCTGTGTTATGCGCTGCTGCAACAGGCTGCACAAAAAACACATCATGCAGTGGCCACTCATTCAAGTGTGACACTCCAGAGGCATATCCAAATGAGACCCTATGTGACGAGGGACGTCGCTTATGTTATGCCGGACAGTGTTCCACATCTGTCTGTATGAAGTATGGTTTGGAAGAGTGTTCTTGTTCAGTTGAGGAAGAACTTTGCGATCTGTGTTGTAAAGAGAAAGGGGGAGCGTGTACTTCAGCAATGCAGCTGACTCAGGTATTAAGTAGATG